TCATGCATAAATATTTTTGACTGCCTCTGTTCTCTATTACAGTGGGAGGCCTGCTATGAATACCCCCCACAGGAGCACAGATGAGACAGAGGAGGGGTTTCCCATCTTCGCATTTCTCAAGGGTGGCTGTCACGGTGACCCACACCCATGAGAGGGCAGACACGCCAGCCTGGAGCACGGGGCGACGGCAGCCTGTCAAAGATGCAGCAAAGAGGCTCCTGGGAATAAATAGCATCTTGATCACAGAATGTTAATTAATTCACTCCAGAGGCTAAGGACAGCCGTGGCTGGGAGCTGCTCTGATGCCTAGAAGCCTTAGGAAGCGTGTGCCCAGAGGACCATCCTTTACTTGTGCAACTGTGTGGCCATGACTTTCAGTGACTGGGGGTTCCACCAAGGAGGCGACTGGGATGACTGTGGTCTTCTTCACGGAGGGCCTGTCATCAACAGTGGCCAAGGCTTTGGGCACCTCCCTGATCCTACTCTTGGCTCTGTTTCTTGGAGTTGCCCTTTCTTGGGTCCGAGTGCCCTTGGATATCATTGCCCACGGCTTCTGGCCTTATGCTCTTGTTGCCTGTGGGCACCTCGCTTTGGTGCATAGGCTCTAAGTTGCAGAATGGTAAGGGATGCCTGACCTTCCCGGAGGGAACCATGTGGCCCCAACAACTGTGTGTTTGCCTTCTTTGGCTTGGATTTTAAAAATAGGTGTAACATTTTAGCCTTCATAAATTAAGGTCTATACAATGCTTTAAACATCCACTGCTCCATGGTGTGGGAAATACACCTATTACTTCTCGGGTATTTCTGGTTTGGGAGGTCTTTGGATAGCATTAGTACAATGCATATGATAATTTTAGTCAATTAACACTTTGTTCAAGAGAGAATTTCAGGCAGACACCTGGTATAAAGATGGGGCCCAATATATGGTTCTTACATTTCATAGATTTTAGTTTCTAATTTGGGAGAGAATGTGAGCCCAGGTGCAGGCCTGTTCTGTGTGGCACGCGGTTTCCCCTGAACCGAGGGAGGCCTGTCCCAGGAGGGGGACCCCAGCATGCCCGACTCAGGTTGCAGGTGGCTGCTGGGGACAGAGGAAGAAGAATGTGCGCAGCATGTTCTCTCCTTAAACTAGGGACATGAGGCCAGTTTATTGTGTCGTTTCTCCGAAGGAGACAATAACGCTTCACCTGCCTATTTCAGAGTTGTTTTGAGTTTAAAAGAAATCAATACATATGGAATTCCAAGGGTGGAAAGAGCAACAACATTCTAAAATATAAGATACTAGGCTAAGCTGCATTTCCCTTCACACTGACAGGTAAGACAAAGATGTAGAGTTTCCTCCCACGCGCCGCTGGGGAGCAGGAGAGCTGCTTGCAGACAGTCCCTTTCTGGGATACGTTTGGCTGTCAGAAGTTGTTTTGCACTCAGAAAAGGACATTAGTGAATTTGGACATCTGAAGCCTTCCGCTGGGTCACAAATGCTGGCAGCCCTCTCATAGAGTGAAAACGTTTTAAAAAGCCTAGATGATCTCATAGGTCTTTCCCACCTCTGAGACAGATGGTGTGATTCATGTACATTTGACATAAATGTACCAGGTTGTGATGATTTGCCTCATTATGCTCCACTGAAGAGAGGCTTAATTTGTAATAATATGCTGAGAATGTAAAGCATGACCTCCAATTAATAAAACAGAGGTGGGGGTGGGTTGCTTCATGGTTAAAGCAATGAACTGACTCAATACTCTGAGTTCCTAATCACAAATCTGTGACCTTGTATGTGACACTGGGAGGCCTGCCACATGCCTTCATGAGTCCCCTTAATTTGTACACACTGATCGCCCATTCTTAAAAGCATTGTAATAAGTCCATCCTCTGAGTACAGTGTGGGTGGTAACAAATGGTTAATAATACTCAAGAGAGTTAAGGCTGCCAAATGCCCATGATGCCTTCAGGGGTATTCAGATTATCACCAAGGGGTGCTAGAAAAATGCAAATCCCACCGTTTCCAGAAAAATTGGCCTGTTGCTCCTCCCTTCCAAGTCAGTCACCTACCCTGTCCCGCAGGCCCAACGGACGTCCAGCAATGATGGAAATATTTCCTATTGACTCTGTTCATAGGCAGTTACCACTTGTGGCTGTTGACCACTTGAAATAGGACTAGTGAGGTTAGGAACTAACTTTTACACCTGATTTAATTGTAATTAATTGGAATGTACATAGCCGCATGTATAGTGGCCACCGTATTTGGACAGCATAGCTCTAGCCAATTCAAACCTCTTCGAAGCAACTACATGAAGGGGAGATTGGGAAAGCAGGAGAGTGTGCATTAACTAATTAGCCAAAGTAATTTTTTTCTTTCTTTTCCAAGTTGGAAGAAGTGGCGAAATTCAAGGTCTGAAGTAAGAGATTACTGAAAAATAAGCACCGTTTCCCAAACCCCTGTACTGTTTCTCTCTGTTTTTTTATGGCTATTAAACAGACAGCATTAAAACTCTAACAAAAAAGCTAAACTAGATCACTTTATTCTATAGAACAACTTTTCTATACAAGGCTGAGAAAATAACCAGTGAGATCAAGTTCAAGAGAAACATTAATCTCACTCCATCCTATTCTCTGACTGCTTCTCAGGAGCATGAGGCTGTGGGATGTTCTTTGTCTGCTGTCATTCCCCAGCCCCACGGACCTCCGTGCCTCAGCGCCACTCCCTTCCCCGACCTAGACATGTCCACTGATAAACGCCTCAAAATCGCAGGCAAAGTGCTGTCTCCCGTTCCCTCCGGACCTAAGGTATCTTCTCTATTTTGCCCCTTTGTAAAGTCTGTGGCAGTATTGAAGTGAACTTACTCAAACTTTATGGGGTGTAAAGAATTTATTCTTGCCGCCCTTAACTTATTATTGCCCTGTCTTTTGTATCTATTTTTTTTCTCCTGAACAATGCACTTCTCAGGTATTCTAAACTCTAATAATGGAACAGGGGTTCAGTCCCTGTAATCCTCATTTACGCACCGCCCAGCACAGCATCAGGGACAAACAGGGACTTAATCAGCGCTTCCTGATAATGCATAAAAGACTGTTAGACTCAATGGGATTTTAAGGTACTTCTTTAACGGTCAGCATACTCCAGGAAATAATGTATCTTTTGCCCTTGTAGGATTTTTTCAGGAGGGAGTGGATTAGGCTTGGTCCTTTCCGGGAAGGACTTCAGAATGGGTCATGTCGTTTTCAGGGCGATGTTGCGATTATCTGAAGGTTAGGGAAGCAGCCCTGAGCTCAGCCAGTGGCTACATGGTTGGTATGGGAGAAAGAAAGGAGGTGCGACAAAGACATTGCTGGTCACTGTTTTCTCAATAGTGAAAAGGAAAGGGAATAAAAGTCTTTATTCATGAAATAGTCATAGTGCCCTGCTAACGACCAGTAAATATGACTACCAGGCCTGTGCAAGGGACTTTGCAGTTTGTTGAAGCAGGAACAAGGTGACAGAAGAACTTATCATAGCTGCCCTTCCTCCAGTCTCCACTGAGTCCTAGCGTATCTCCTTAAATGCATATTTTCTAAGGAGATTTCTTTGAAATAGAAAACCATTCATTCTGCTCCCAAATTCATCCTTAACAGAAAGAATAAAGTGTAAGTAAATAGAAATCTAAAACTTAAGGGTAAACCAGCAATAAAAATGCTCCATCTTTTCCAAGTTACAGAGTCTACCACAAACAATACAGCAAAGTGCAGTACTTGGATCAGCTGCATTAGCAACACCAGGTGGCCTGTTAGAAATGTAAATTCTTGGACTCCAACCCCGACCTACGGGAGCAGAAACTTTGGGGGGCAGGCGTCCAAGCAATTGTGTTATAAAGAAAACCTCCAAGTGGTTCTGCACTAACATTTGAGATCATTGTTTTAAACCAGTGTGGAAATCATCTTTCCATGTTGTAATAAAGTGTACTAAATAAGCATCTCTGAAATGTCCAGTCTTTCCCAATTCTAGAAATAAGGCCTGACCAAGCACTAGACAAGTCCGGCCAGCAGTCCCTAGTTCTGAGTTCAAGCATATGTGCACGTCCTGCTACCTGGGACCTGGGCAGGCTTCCCCAGGGGGCTTCTGGGGGCGGGCCCTTCTGCGCTGGGCCACTGGTGCTCATCTGCTTCATGGGGGGAGAAGGAGGGCTTCAAAGGGGGGGGGGTTGAGGGGGGAGCAGCGACTCTGGAAATCTATGACTTTTCCATCAACTTTAACCATTCCTTTTTCTAAAGGGAGCAAATATTGAGTACCTTTCAATCGCTATTTCACAAATAACAATCAAAAGAAACACAGTGCTTGTAAGACTTTAAAAAATAGTGCCTCTTGGCAGATAACTGCTGCCAGACGCACCAGGGTCTGCATCCTTCATCTGCACCCCTCAGGTGATGACGGAGTCCGGCGTCTAGAGAGCTCGCTGCTGACGTGAGTCTGTCTGCGTCATTCCCAGGTCTCCGACCCCCAATCACAACTCTTATTAACCAGTATCTTCCAGTCCCAGACATTCTGGCTTTACCCAATCTTTTCCTATTCCATCATAATGACCATCCAGAGTGTAAAGGGAACTATTAAGACTTTTTGTCCAAATGATTCAAAGAGTTTCAAATTTCTGTTTGATAACAGTGGTTGCTCATGTAACCTAGTTCTTGTGTGCTCCAAGAATACAAGGACAAAAAGTCAAAGTACCAAAAGCACAATAGCATTTTATGATATTTTTCACAAGAGAAACCTCCATGCAAAGAAAAATGGAAATGCAAACTTTCCACAGTAACTTTTCTCACTTAAATCGCACCTCTCATCACGACCTGTTACGCCCACACAGTCATGTGCCATAGGCACTGCACACTGTCTCCAACGTTTCAAAGGCTCAAAAGCTATTTTTAAAGCCAAAATGCAATCTAGGTTGCTATTCTATAACACACTTTTTAAGGAAAAACAAAGTAATACAGTGATTTTTTTAATGCAAGTGGGCAGTTAGCCAACTCACCAAAGGACTGAATGCAGCTATCGATGAGATCGTCCAGGCTGGCTCCTTTGGCCAAATGTCCCAGAGACACCATCATTCGGAACTGGGTGATCTGGGCCAGGCTGGGATGGGAGGGGATGGGGCTGCTGGCTGGCTTCGCCTCTAGTTTTGCTTTAGGGGCAGTTCTGCAGCCATGAGAAGGTTTCCTGAGGAAAGAGAGGAGTCAGTGAGTGCACGCAGAACAGCCAGGGCACCAACAAACTGGCAGCTCCACGCTCTGAAGGCAGACTGGAGAGGCAAGGAGTAGAGATAACACAATTAATCCTGGGAGTTGGGCTGATAGAAGACATACCCCTCCCACTTGGCACATGCACCAAGCTGACTGGTTGGCTGTTAAAGAGACATCTCCCAAAGCAAATAACAAGGTGAGATTTCAGGGTTGCAATTAGGGCTTGTCCCCCTGGGGTTAGGACTGCTTTGACCCGCTGTCTCCATCTCCCAAAGTAGAGAGGCAGAGGCAGCGGCAGGCCTGCCTTGGCCGTCCTCAGCTCCTAACAGTAATTTTTAAATTTTAGCCTCAGCGTCATGGACTTGGGTCTTAGGAATTAAGTTTCAAGTGGTCCCATCTTCAGGTAAATTCATTCATGTGAACAACTGCAGAGAGGCTGTAAAAGCCCAGCTGGCCTCAGAAACATCTTTAAAGGCCTTTGGGGGGAAATGTCAAAGACTGAGGACCGGTGTGCAGGGGGTGAGGGTGGTGGTATTTAGATTTTAAGTTAGTCCTGCCTTTCTGACAAATCTCTATTGGTTTGAAGATTCGGTTTTTCATTAATTATAATACAGAAAACCACCATGAGTCATTTTTATCATTAAACATCAGTCCATCAAGTCTGTATTTGGGTTTTTACCTATTGGGGGCCAGGGTGGGGGTGGGGAGCAGAGCTCAAGAGAGCTTTATTCCAGAACTGAATCCCAAAGAGCGAGCCTGGGTATAGGACGGCTCAGGGGTCCTATCGGTCACTGCTGTCCACGCTCACCTTGCTTTACCTTTGGCCGTGACCTCTCAGTATAAGTCGTTTGCAAAATGATACACGAAGATTGATTAAGCATTTTGTTTTCATTAGAAGAGATAAACACACAGAGACACATTTGTGCAATCTTTGAAGGTTTATTAGTGGCAGGTGTTGTCACTGGAAACTTCTTTGAGCACATAGTCAATTCTCCTCTCCCTACTGTGACCTGGTTATTTCATAGTTTACAAAAAGGAGTCAAGAAAAAGAGAAAAGTAAATACATCTCAGATCTATACGTTAGCTACTCACTATATACTTTGATAGACACATGAGGGCATCAATTATTCAGTACTTGCTCATTCCATAGGTCAGAGAAGACCAGTGAGACAGCCTATAAGGAGGCACTCTGCAAACTGTAAAACATACTAATTACATGTTAGCTGTTGCTGTATAGAGGTCATAGTTCTTTAATACAAAAATCTAGTTGGAGAATCCAACCCAGAGCATGAAAAGATAACTATCAATCTGCAAGTGCCATGGGTAAGGGGTGTGATATTCTCAGAGGAGGGGGAATCGGTTGCAGGTGGAGTGTTGGGGAAAGCTGCTCTGACAAGATATCATCTCACCCAGAAGGGGCCGAAGAAGTGCTGAGATCAAAATAAAATGCAGGGGCACTCAGGGGACTTTGGAGACCACCCTGCGAAAAGACAAGTGAACTGTGGGGCTACTCAGTGCACAGCCGGACTTGTGCAGGGAACACCCTGCCCTGCCAGTGGCATTTCAGGATCGCTCCGGGGTGCTGGGCTGCAGCGGCTGTGGGGCTCTGTTTTGACCTGGTGGGTCCAATGAGACAGAACCAGCAACTGGCTATTGGGGGTCTGCTACTCCAAGGCAGTGATTTCCAAAAGGTGAAGTTGGTGTTACAGGACGTGATCGAGTTTCTTCAGGCTGTTACTGACTTTTACCCGGCACCTGCAATAGCCCCAGGATCAGATCGGTAGCTGAAAATGAGAGGATAATGGCCACCGTGGACGGAGTGCCGAGGACAGGCAGGCACTGTGCTGGGGGTTTACGTGTTCTTTAAAGCTTACACCCCAGAGAGATTTTATCTCCACTTTGTGATGTTGGAACTGAGTCTAAAAGAGGTAAATGACATAGCCTAGTACAACTCGTGTGTTCTAGATCTGAGATTAGTACTGAGAGCCCCTCTGGCTCTATCTGCTTAATAAATAGTTACTGTGCCTGGAACTGTGCACCTTTCACTACATCAGAATTAGCAAGAGAGGCTGGAATGGTCAATTCAGCTTAAAACAAAGGTAACATTCTCCTAAAACATAGCTGATAATACAAAGGCTGAGTCTTGGGCTCTATTCCTTCTGCAAGTTTCTGGAACAGTCCTCAGACCCGAGGGCTGCACGGACTCTCCGTGGTCATTATCCAAACCCTTCCACTAGAGGTGCGGGGACCCAGGCTCAGTAGGGCCATGGGATCGGCCACCAGTGCCGAGACAAGTAGAAGCCAGGCCTCCTGTGCCCCTGTCTTGCTCCCTACCTGTGCTCCCTCCCCTTCCGGAAGCAACAACAATCTCAGAACCTGGGGCTGGTTGTCAGGTGCTGGGAGTAATTAGCTTTCTGCCTTACCTGCTGCCTTTTTATCACTAAGATCTCTACCCAAGGCAGAGGTGGAAAAGAGAAAAATAAAGGTCTTCTCAGCACAAGTCTCTTTTTCTCTTAGGCCCTCCACATCACTTCTCCCTGGCCCTGGAGAAGAGGTACCTGCAACCAGAGGTGGAGCCTCCACATACAGCTCTTTCCTCTGTATGGGGCCAGGAGGCGTCTACCTCAGTATCTCAGTCGGTGCATAGAAGGAAAATTCCACTTTCTCAGTCCGTGGCATTGACCATTGAGGACTCCAAAAACAGCCCTGGCTCTAATTCTAGTAATGGTTCCTCATGTCAGCAGTAGGGGAGGCCACTTTGGTTCACAAATGAGACGCTTTCACCAGAACTAGGAGGGACTGCGGTACATTCAAGCAGAAAGAACTGGAAGGGAGTATTTGGCGATTGGTGAAAGATGCAACCTGGGAACTATGGAGCCCAGACAGAGTCGAGGTCTGCGGCATGAGAAACCAGGGATAAGAGAAACTACTAAAAACCAAACTGCAACCTGAAAGGTCTAGGTAGGTGGGGGTTATCTGCACCATAACCTAGGGAACTCAGCTCTTCTGCCGTGCAATTCCTTGACTGGCTGCTGCTTGTGACAAACCCCCAAAACTGTCTCTTCTGGATAAATGGCTATAGACAGAGATTTATAAAATGCTTTATTATAGGCAGTTCTTGAAGGTAATTTAATCCATGGACCGAACAGCCTCTAGTCTGCAAAGGCGTATTTTTAAACAATAGTAGCCAAATGTTTCCTGGTCAGCTCCCTGGTGAATTAAACAAACAAACAAACCCCTAGGAAAAATAAATTAACTTGAAGGTGTTTTCTGAGGCTAAAATTGGCAAAGGCTCCATTAAGTTTGCTGAAGGAGACCCTCAAAATTCAGACTGGTTCAAGTGAAATCCTCTCAAAGCACAAGTTACCTCAGTTCAACTTATAATGGAAACTTCCACAACTTTCTTTGCAGTGGAAGGTGGCTTCTAGTGAGGATTCCTTCCTGTCCTGTCCCCTCCCCAGCTCCTTAATGGCTCAGTTTAACCTACTGAAGCTCCCCCCACCCCCAATATAGTGCAAGATACAGTGTTGGGCGCTCAGGGACACAAGGCAGGTGCAAAAAAACGCAGAGAACCTTTAGCTCTATAAAGTCCAGCAGGGCAAAGCTTCCTGCCTCTACTGGTCATGCTTGTGAGGGCTGGGCACGACAGTCACACTAGGGTCCATGTGGAAGGAGGTGGGGAAGTGCACAACGTGCCCAGCCCAGGGTGCTGTCTAAGCAGTGGTTGGTTCCAGCCCTTTGGGGGATAAACTCAAAATTACCCGGCCCCTCCAAGCCTCTCTCTCCTGACAAGAACCTTTTCACTCACTGTCACTCTTCACCTTATTTCACGCCAAGACGCTCCTAAAACATCTCTCTAAAATCACAGTGGGGTAGACGTTCCCACCCAGAAGGTTATATGACTCGCTGACCTCCCCTTGCTTGCTGCAAGCGTAGTTGGCCTTTCAGGGCCCTCCGGGATCCGCAGGGCCATAGAGGCCGCCAGGTGGCGCTGCGGGAGCCCTGCCCCCCGCAGCAGGTGCCGGCTGGCGACCTGGAAAGTCCGCGAGTGGGAGTCCCAGGTGCGTGGCAGCTAGGAGTTGGGGGAGGAGGTCTGTCAGTGCAATTCCGGAGCTTGCCGGGCGAACGCTAGCCGCGCGGACCGCACAACCCAGATCATTCCCCCATTTCCCGGTTGCGACGCGCTGGACACTCCAGGCGCGTCCGTCTCTTGAGCTTGTGTCCCTTGCGCGCGACTCCCCGGTGGTCAGCCAAGGTCCCAGCTTGCTGCCCCCAGCAGTCCGGCCCCCAACTTCCCGTAAAGGAGGGCCCCGTGTCGTCCGCCCCACTTCCCATCCCCGAGAGGCCTCAGGGGGCTGCCCGCACAATGGCCCCCGCCCCAAGGAAGGAAATAGGTGCTTCCCAGGGCCTGGGCCCCTACTCACCGAGGAGCCTCTCTCGCCTTGCCCAAGGTACCCATGGCTGTAGCCGCTCTCGTGAGCCGCTTCACCTAGCGCAGCTGGACGGGCTCGGCGGGGCACATCGCATCGCCGCCGCGCTGCCCCTGCTGCTGCCAGCGCGCCCTTTCGCCCCGGGCCTCTCCGCCTTCGGGCCGCCCACCTGCCGCTCTCGGAGCCGGGCGAGCCCGCCCGACGCGCACCCGCAGGCACAAACTTTAAGTACAGGGCCTCTCGCCTTGCCCGCGCGCGCACGCGCGCACTGACACTCTCCGGCACCAACCACCTGACACCCGCTGATGTTATCGGCTGTAGGAAATGTGTGGCGCTCTTCGGCTCTTCTCTGAAACCTGCCCCCAGTACTCGGTAGTGCGCCGAGGCCAGCGCCTCTCCAAGTCCTCGCCTTCTACTCTTCCTTTCTACCTCTCCCAGCCCAAGGTTGCGGTCCCAAGGGGAGCTGGAGGGCTGGGAAGGCTCCGGGTGCCCTATATCCCACCAAACCCGAGCCTGCAGAGCAGGTGTGAGCCTAAGGGAACCGGCTTAGCCCGGCAGTTCGGCTCCCGGGAGAACACCACCACCACCACCACGACCCCAGCAGGCCTGCATTTCAGTCCCGGATCCTGACAACCCCTTGACCCTTGGCAGGCCTCTTTTGAATGTATTAGAGTTCAGAGCTGGGGCGGGGTAAGAAACTAATACAAAGTTGTGGATATGCCTTAGTCTGAGTCTCTGGGTGTCTTCTTGGTAACAATTTGCAAGACTGGGCTGGAGATACGTGTACAGTACCGTTTAAGAGGCAGCGGCTGTGGAGGTGCACTCTGGGAGCGTGATCTAGTGGGAGACAGCTGCCTGGCATCTGTAGGTGTAGCTGTGGGGAGAGGGGGACAGGGATGGGGAAGGGCGGAGAGAATTTTGTTTCAGCAGCCCTGGCTAGGAATGGCGGCCTAAGCCCCTGCTTGCAAGTGATGCTAGGAAGAGCTACTGTTGGTTGAGAGAGTTTTGCTAAATGCTTTTTGTACATTGCCTCATTGACTCCATCTCCCCCAAATACCAAGAGGTCACTATATTAAAGATGAGAAAATTAAAGATTAGAGAATAATATGCCTCCCATTACACAACTAGTAAACAGCAAAGAGAACTATGACTGGGCTGAGATCGGACTCCCTGTAATCACTGCTGGACTGTCCTGATAAGACACCCGCTGTCATTGTCACATGCCATAACTCCAGCCACAACAATAGGACTCTTCCTAGCCATAATGTTTGGACTTTCAAGCCTCCCCCTGCAACTTCATTTATACATTGCCTTATGTTTACACCATCTTGTCCTTAAAAAAAAAAAGATAATTCAAGATAGCTTATCTGCATAACCTACAAGAGAAGTATGTGAAATGTACAGTGAAAAATAAGATACATAAAATGGAGCCATAAATGAAAGTCATTCTCTAAAAATGCTCCCCATAGAGTCCAATACACTTGCTTCAAGTAGGACAAAAACTTTTCACCTGGATTTCTAGCAGTCATGTTCAAAAGGAAGGCCAACTAAAGTTCAATTCCTGTCACATGCAAGACAAAAAAAGGAAAGAAAGAAAGAAAGAAAGAAAGAGAAAGAAAGAAAGAAAAGAAAAGAAAAGAAAATTGCTCAAGAGAAGATGGACTCTTCTTGATACTGAGACCAGAAAGAAATCTATCTAAAGAATCCCCATGAACTTTGGGGTGATAGAAAAAACTAAGCCCTCAGTCATAGCATATATATAGAAGTGGCATGTGGATATTTAATAAATATTAAATAACACTTTTCTAGAATTACACTCTATACTCATATGTCTGCATGCCAAGTGGATAAACATATGCCTTTCTTTATGTGCATAACTATATGTAGATGTCTGTATACGTAGACAGACTATTTGGTGAATACACACAATGCTAAACACATGTAGGCAGCTGCACACACCTATATACCTGCAGTCCATTATGTGTATAAGTATAGAAACTATTAGTACATTAATAATGAACTAAATAATTCATTATTATGAATTTGAGAAACAAGTCTTGCTGAGTTTTGTAAAGAAAGAGGCCTGATTCAGGCCTGGAAGCTTCCTCCTCTCCGGCTTCCTGAGAACTCTGTACTCCACTTGCACCTCATTCTATTTCTCGGCCCACCTGAGCTTTGATGACACTTTCTGGCTGCTCCTACTTGAGTGATTTGTCCTTTCCAGACATCTAAAATATTAGAAGTTAGCTCCATTGCTTCCGTCATCTTCTGCCATGCGGTTAGTCTTCCGAGTGTCATCTGAGGCACCTCCGACCTTAGGAACACATTTCTTCTTTTCTCTCTCATTCTCTCCTCTAACCCCCTCTTCTGTGTCTCTAACCTCTTTCATGGGCAGTTGTCAATGTTTCTGTAGCAGCTGAGAAAGACTGGAGGCCATTGTCTGCCTCTGCCTGCCTCTTGGGTGAGATTCTGCGGCATTCTTTCTCTGTCGTTCTTCCTTTTGATCAGGCATTTTTAACTAATATCCACGGACTTTTATTTGGCTTTTTGATGTGTATTGTGGAGCCTTTGAGACTAAAATACATGCTTTCATCAGATTTCCAAAATGCCCTACTACTCCAATTGGGTGTTTTTATTTTCCTCCGTAGCTTCAACAGGACCCATATGACTCTAATGTTTGAATATACAACCTCGGTATCTAATATCCACACCCACATTTCTAGCCGGTCACTTGCTTTAATTATCCTGCAGGACTTCCTCCCTATCTTCACAGCCACATGTTGGCCTTGACCCTCATTATCTCAGAATCTGGACATGTGTAATAGCTTCGTAACTAGCCTCCCTAATTACAGAACCTCCTCTTCTCTGATCCTTCTTTCATGCTGCTTTTAGATTTACCTGATTATGTCATGTCTCTGCTTCCAAACTGCCACAGAATCTCCAGTTGCCTACAGAATAAAGTGCAAACTTCTTAACATTGTGCATCTTCACAGCTAGACCTCACCCGCCCAGCCTGGCCTCCAGCCCTGCCCTCCTAGGCACCTGCCGTCTTAGGTTACACCCTGGTCATTCCTGGTAATTGCTGTGTCCTGAGCCCCTGCAAGTGTTGTTGCTTTTGCCCGTGTACCTCCTTCTGCCTGCCATCTCTTTTCGCCTGGTAAACACACAAAAATAGTTATGCCAAACACATGTCAAACTGGTAAGCCACCCGAGAGGGCACACACAGGATTGCCTCCCGGGGCAGAGGCGTGCCGACTCACCTTTCAGAACCTGCCTGTGGCTACCACAGCTTCCACTCTGTTGTCGGCCATTGATTGATTCATTCATTTAAGATGTCTTCACTTGGTGCCTACTTAGTGTCAGATGCTATCCTTGTCATTGAGAATCTGGTAGAGAACAAGACATAAGGTCCTTGTTCATAACAGTTTAAGTATCTGACAGACAGTAACCAAGCCAACAAATAAACAAATACACCACAGTTTTACGCCCTGATTTCCAGAAACTACCACCTTAGAGTCACGTCACTCCTGCCCTCATGGGGGCACCAGGACATGTCCCAGTTGGGGCCTCTCCATGGACCTGTGAGAACAAAGCTGTCACGTTTAGGAGCACATAGCTCCAGAGGAGACTGGAGAGAAATGGAGAGGGAAAGGAGGGAGAGGGTGGGGCACCATCCTTCACTCTCCTGCTGAGACCTGCTCCTATTTCTGAGACGGGCAGAATTGGCCCTGTTATTTTATGATTGTGACTGTCTGTCCCACATAGATGCACATGGAACACCAAGTTCCTGCTGCTGCTCAACCCTGCACCAAGGCCAGAGGAACTTCCCATGTGAGAAGCGGCTCCTTTGGCTCTGTACCTGTAGATTGTGGGCATGCGGTTGGAGGCCCGCTTGTTTTTGTCTGGGTGTCTTCTCGTGGATGCAGCAGCAGGCCTGTCTGGGTCTCTCCATCAATGGGCCAGCCGTCCTGAAGAGTGTCTGTTTCCTTGAAGTATCCCCAGGATTCTCCACAGAGAATTTTATGATTGTCCCATAAATTTCATTTTAAGAGAGATAGTCCTATATATAGACCCTAAATGTGAATATGCATTCTCGTTTTCAGCTGCTTTAAAGGGTGTGTCCTGTCTCTCTGAAGTCCCTTCCTAGAGTCCTATCGCAAAGCCCACATTTTTGGTTAGATTGCCCTCAAATTTGATTTTGGGTTTTTTTTTAAGATGCTAACATAGCAAACAAATAGAAATACATGTTGTCTCATGGCTTTTACTCGTACTAGGATGGGAGTCCCTTGAGGCCTAGGAACAGATGAGGGACAAGATATGACTTCTGCTTTATTGGGTCCCTCAGGCTGCTGAGTTCCAACACGATTCATGGGAAGCAAGGGCAGAAGCCTCTAGGTGGAAGTGCCTTTATAATTTCCAACTGGGTGGATCTGCCAGGTTGGTGGCTTTCAAATTGTTTTGAACATTACTCCATGGTAAGAAGAGTCGAGTCACATTTTACATTCTCTGACTCAGACGTATGTTTGCCCTACATGTAAAACTGAAACACAGGCTATGTGAAACAACAGCACCCTTGCTATATGTGGTTCATGCTGATCCTTTGAAGTCTTTTTAACTTTGTTTAGTGACATTAAAAAGTAAATACTAGTCAGGACCTACTGAAGTGATACGTTACTGGGTTGGGCTCATAGTTTATGAAATAATAGCTCTCGGTCAGCCTCTCACGGTAACAATAGATCTCCATGGTTACCCCAGGAAATGGGACCCAGGTGGCGTCAAGTAGGGGAACATTTCATTTTTCATTGTTTCTCCTTTTGTAATTTTTATTTTTGTGTTATGTGCACACATCTATTCAATAAATAAATCCTATTTTAAATTATTAGTGTGCAAAAACCTTCCTGCTTT